GGCTGCATTCCACAAGAAGCAAACTGCTATTCCGGAAATATCTGAAAATAACAAAATAAAAATAATTAATGACAATATAATTGTGTTAATGTTTTAATTACAGAAAAACATAAAAAATTAACTACTATATATATAAAAAATTGGCAGAATAAGGATTCATACTTTTGTTGCAGCCAAAGATTCTAGGAATATTTATTTATTTATTTTTGACTCACGACTCTGATGGCATTAAAACTGATTGTTTTGAGGAAAGTACATTATGTCCTTACATGTCACAGTTTATAACAATTTCTTTTAACAATGTGAGATATGGGTTGGCAAAAATTAGATCATGAATAGATCATGAAGACTGATAAAAAAAATTAAAAAATTGAAAAAAGCCTTTCCTATGTGAAATTCAAGAACCAAATGAAATGCATATTACTGCCATCTTCATATTGACAGCATATACAAATGAGATTTGCAAGAATCTTCTTAGTAATATCAATATATCGGGTGCTCATACATGAGAAATCAAAGGATCGAAACAAGCCAACAGCCCACCCATCCAGCTCCATAGACCAACTCTGCTTCTAGCTTACTGTAGAAATGACTCCATCCAACTATATGTTTTAGACTACCACAATTTTTATGTAAAATCTGTACTAGTGGAGACAAAGGAAAATATCAAATAACATTTAACTTAAATTAATATTTAATATATAGTAACCTTTTGTTTAACAATCTAGATAAATAGAAAAGCATGATAATACATGATTCATTGCAGACCAAATAATATGATTGTTTAATACATGCAGAATCTTACAAAACAATGGTTTAAACCAAGGCACAAACTAGTCATAAAACAAATAAAAAGCATTCAACAATGAAGAAATATAGTCATCAAAATAACAAATTATACAAAGGCTTGGGTATTTGATGTCCGTGGCACAATATATCACACAAGCGAAGGAATAAAAAGGCGTGGACAATGCGCCGTTTAAAATTACTAGAAAAACATGTAACACGTGATGATGACAGAATTGTACCTTTGGAAGGCTCCAACGGCTGATTCTTTTCAAGAATCTGGGATTCTTTTAGCTTACTCGATCTTTTCCCGGAAGGGTTAAAGGCACCAGATTCTGCAGCAATTCTTTGGCTGTTTATTTCACATTTGATCGCCCCCACGCTGGGGATCTGGGAATTGAGAGGTGCCACCACCACAGGATCTGAAGTAGAGGAGTAAACACCTGACACATACAATGTTGGGCAAGCCCAGAGATGAGAACCTAATTTGACCTTTTCCCTTTTGACTCCAACTCCGGTCACAAAGATGGAAGTGAAGTAAGGAGATTGTTTCACAGAACATGTTTGTAAATGCGGCATCAACAACTGGATTATCTTAATGAAGATTACCAATAATACATGCAGATGATTGGGTGCCACGTTCATGACTGGAACTGCCATCAGGAACATGTGTGGGCCCATTGACTGAAATGGTAGAAGATCTGTAACATATAGACAAAATTCAGAGTGAAAGCACAATTTTTTGCAAAGAGATGAGCAAATTAGGCTACAAAAACAGAATGCAACATATTTACTTTGTGACATGAGGGTTCGCATTATTTTTTGTTTTTTCTGGAACTGACAGGGAGGGCTTAAAACCTCTCTCCATGCTATGACTGACTCCATTTTCCTTACGAGCACTCACATTCCTTCCACCGCCAGCACCTAGTAGTGATAAGACAAAAAAAATCCAATTAAATATATAATATAAGCAAAAATGAAGGGGGTGAATTGATATTTGGTGATTTACAGATCTCACAGAATACAAAGCCAAAATATTTAAGAACTTGCAGCTGAAAAACAAGTACTTGTGTCTTAGTTACAAGGACTCAAAATGAAAATTAAACGAAGCACATCAAATGCAATGTCATGAGGTTTTTGTCCTTATCTCTATTATTCTATGTGTATAAAACAGTGTCCAACTTTTGAAAGAGCAGAAAAAGAAAGAAAAAGCACTCCTCCTGAACTAAAAGTTCAACATCTGAAATTACAAGTCACATGCCCGATGGAAATTTAAAGAAAAGATATCCGGTCTACATCTTGGCAACTTCTAGTTAACCAAACTGATCATTAAGTAAAACATGATTTCACGGCACGATTTCTCGTAATTCATTAAAGCCACGACACCTCTCAAAGATTACCCATTAAAAATAATTTCAAATTCATTATGAAACTACATACGAGCTATGAAGCATGGATATGGTTATTATATAATATTGATACATCAATACGACAAAACTTAAAATATGAATAAGGGTATGGCCCGAAGGCAAGAAGAAAACAATAAAGGAAAATCAGCATTTACACGTTGTGAATGGCTGCTTGGTGTTAAGATACAGAATGCCACCAGCACTACCCACTAATTAAAATTTATAATGAAACAATTATACTCTATATGGCTTTTGGAATAACCATAACCTCTTATGAACAAAAATTAAAGAACAACCACGATTGTAGATATAAAAAGTGAAATGATTATAGGATTTGATGTGATATTTTGTTTGGATTGGTTTTTTTTGATTTTGTAAAACATTTGTCTTGTAGTGAAAAAAAATAAAAAAAATAAAAACCTAAAAACCAAGTTGCCAAACACCGCCATACTTTGATGTTATGCCATAATTATTACAATCTCAATTTAATAATAGTTCAGCTCTGGGACCTAGAGTATCTAAAAATATCTTATACTTCTCAAAATTAAAGAAAATCAAGTATTTAACAAGTATTGGATACCTATCTGCAAATGTCCGAGGAGCATTGGAATCCAATACGGATATGATTCCCTTCTAGAATCCATGCTTCATGGCACGGAGGTGACAGTCTCACATTTGGAGACATGCAAATGTAATACAATTACCATTAATCGTCAATAGTTCTTTTTGGATTTTTTTTCCTTTAATCTTTTTTTTTTTAAGGGGGCGGAAGGAGATATGAATCTGAGAAGAGAGAAACTGAATGTGGACATACCGTGAGAAAAATAAGAAGATGAATAGTTCACCCGACCACCTCTAGCCCCTCGCCCCTGTGTTCCTGTTGTCCACCTAGATTCTTCGTAGACTCTGTTGTTCAAATTCTGTAATGGGATAAGTACAGGAATTAACAAATGGTCAAGCTAGCTACAGATAAACATAAAAAAAATTTGACAATTTGGAGACGTATTTGCATCCCAAATGGATAAAAATGTGCATAGGAATGTATTCTTTATCTTTCTCAAAGACGCATAATTATCCGCAACGAAGACTTTTCACCATTTAATGCATGTATCAATATTAAACAATGGTACAAATGCAGATCATAAAACAGAAACCAACAAAACATAAAACTATTTAAACAAGTAAATCAGGCTGCAGAGATCATGTTCAGATTTATTGCACTTAAGATAGCTAACAGGTAAGTGGAAAAAACTCGTGAAGTAGTCCCTGATGCACAGCAAATGATGTACACAACTTTATTGTATTTGAACCAAAAACTGACCTAAAACCTGTTAGAGGCAAAGGATCTAATGCCCCAATTAGTAAGAGCTATTTGGCCTCTTTGTACACAGAGTTGTGTTGAATTCTGATGATGTCTGACACCAAGTAAAAAGTGGAACTTACCATACAAACCAGGTCATTTTATATACAAGTCAAACATAAGCACACCAATAGCATACTATAAACTTTAAAGATAGCCTATTCTCAACTTAAGTGAAAAATAAAATTATATTGGTCCTTAAAAAGAAGAAACAAATGCTTGATGGTAAGGCTCACCACTTTTCTCGGGTCACGTTTCCTTTTGACCTCGTGAAATGTGTCTGCAAGACCAAACAGAACACTAGTTATCCTCGAGAATTTTTATAATGATACGAGTTAGATAATCAAGTAACTATTATGTATTCATAGACATGACAACTTGACAAGACCATTACCACTTCAAAAGTCACAGAGAGTTCAAAGAACATAAACAAATTACAGCAGTATTAGAATCACAATTGAAAACAAAACTACGGCAAGCTATTCAAATAAATATTGTAAAGATGTAGTACACATTCCCTAAGAGTTAATGCTGCATGGCAAAAAAGATATGTGAACCCGAGTTCTCTTGATTCCCTTGACAAAAAAAATCATGGAGCTTACTTGATATAGGACTCACGAAAAATTGATATGTTAATTGACGTTTAAATTTAAGCAATTAGTCCTATTAGATATCATTTATATAATGTTTCTACATTTTCAATTTGTTGGGTTTCTTATAGCTTAAATACTAGAATGCAAGTAATACCAGGTTACTATGTTGGGTAGAGGCTTAGGTAATAGAATGCGAATTATACCAGGTTACTATGTTGGGTATAGTCTTAGGTAATGAATGCGAGTTATACTAGGTTACCATGTTGGGTAGAGGCTTACGTAATAGAATGTTGGGTAGGTATTATGTTTTAGAAGGTAACCATGGGTTTTTATGGTTTATAAATACCATGAATAGGCCCATCTTATGCCCTTCGGAGATCTCTCTCTATATATACACATAAATGTATATATCTATATATATATGTATTATATTCTTCAATCGTCTTATATTCTCATTCAGACATTAAGTTCACGATCATGTTCATCTGCAACGCTGTGATTAAGAGCCTTTGAAGAAAGCTAACCACCCTCCATCTCGGTGAGTTTAGTACGTCACTCTTCCCATCTATGCTACCTTCCTTTGATCTATACCAAACCACTTCTTTCCAATAAATTTTCTTCATTTCCACTCATTCTCTCCCACTTCTTTATTCTATCCAAACCAAACTCTCTCTCATTCTGTTGTTTTAGCTTGGGCTTGTTTGTAAGAGTACTTAGGTTAAAATGAGTGTTTAAAGGAGATTGTTGTGGCTTGAGAATGCTACACCTGCATTAGACTTAGCACACTTGGTTGTTAAATTGCAAATAATCAACAGATCAAAACCATGAAAACAGTCAAACTACATTATTAAACTCCTTATGGAAAAACACAAAGGATATAATGAATGTTTTAAAAATAATAACACTAATAACAAACAAACGGTTAAAATTAAAAACAAAAAATATGTATATATTACAGAAATTATGAACATTTTCTTCTTTGTTGTCCCAGGAAAGAAAACCCTCACTCCAATGTGCCCAACAGGCTTAGTAAGAATGAAAACAAGAAGAAAGCACACTATTTATTCAATCTAGTTTCTGTATTTTGTTTCGTTTTCTCAACAACCCAACTACAAAAATCACCCAATAAAGCGTCAGATCACAATCCTCACCATTAAAACATAAACAAGAATAAACAATATGTATATATATATATAGAAGGGTTACCAAGATACAGGAGCCTCTGAGCAGTTTCATTAGGATCCATATTGCAGTCCTTGAGTACAGTGTATATATCTTCATCACTGTGCTTCCCAGTGATCTCTCTGATATCTTGAATCATGTTCCGAACATTGTTGGGAATCAAAACCCTAGAACTACTCATGTTTGAGACAAAGATAGATGGATGGGTAGAGAGAGAGATTGATGAAGCAAAATATTAACTATAATGGGTGTATATATATATATAAAAGACAAAACATCAATCTAGGTATATTTGGGCGCGCAGAGAAATCAAAGTAGAGGAAAAGAGGAGATTTTGGACGATTTTGAATTGAATTCAATGGAAAGTAGAAGAACAACCGAGAGAGAAGGGCTTGGGATGGGACAATTGCCCCTTTGTGATTGTATCACCGGAGGGTTTATTATAATTTATACTAGTGGGTGGCACATGCAATTCAGATAAGTAAGCATAAAAATAAATAATAAATAAATTAATATCATAATATATATTTTGTCTAAATGGTAAGAGTGTTCTTAATGAAACTTAAGGTTCTAGGTTCAAATCTTACTCACACTTTTGAAAAATATTTTTTTATTTTAGGATAGAAAAATTTGCCACGTGGCAGAAAGAGAAGTCACTACACTATTAGACACCAAATCATAATTTTAAGATAGAAAAATTTACCACGTGGCAGAAAGAGAAGTCACTACACTATTAGACACCAAATCATGTGCTCACATATATAATAGTATAGATATATATATATATATATACACACACGTCATAGTTATAGGTCTTAATTTAGCCTTTAATGTTTCTGCAAAAATGGTATAATCAAAGTCAGGGATTTGATGTATAGAATTGCAACACTCACACGCGACGCGGCCCGGAGATCGGCTTTGGCATGGTACTCATGCGCCCATGGGCCATGCCTTGGTTTTTAGTTAAAAATAAAAAAAATCACTATAATTATCAAATCATTTTTTATATTTTTTTATACAAATTTAAAAAAAATCACTATAATTATCAAATCATTTTTATATTTTTTTATACAAATTTTAAAAATTATTAAAAAAATCAAATCTTAAACACTCCTAAGCCTAACAACTTTTTTATTGGCCTGCCTAGTTGACTTAACCTAGATGCACTCTTATCTTTGGCATTTAATTCAATGGGACATCAATTCAAACTTATATATAGTATTTCTTTTATTATTATTATTGAAATCGGGATTCAATCTTTAGGTTTAGGTTCAACTCAAGTTTTGCTCAGGTTGTGCCGATTCATGTCTCGTTTGATAAATTTTTATTTTAATTAAAAAATTTTAAAAATATTATAAATTGTTTCACCACTTTTTCTTTTTTTTATATACCTTTTAATAAAAAATTAAAAAATTATTAAAATAATATGTTTCCAAACGAGTTCTCAATCAACATACAAAATTGGATTAGATAAATGTTTAAAGGGAAGACCACTTTGAACCAAATTACATACTTTTCGAATTAAATAAGGACCTTTAGTTAATTAAGGTGAAAAGATTCATGTTGTGTCTAGACACTACTTCAAATCCAATCATTTGTAATAATTTTGTGAAATTATTAGACATTAAATTTTTAAGTAGAAGTGACAAAATATTAAATGAATGATTATCATGCACAGAAAAAAAATCTTGATTCATCTTTAAAAAAAATTAAGTTTTTATTTATTTAAAGTTATATATTTTTATTTAACTCAATTGACTAATTAATCATGCTAATATTACGTTTTGTTTTTACAAACATTAGGATAATTTTTAGATTAGGATAAATGTACTTATTAAAAAAAAGTTATATTCTAAGTATACAGACATCGTCTTAATTATTAGGAAAAATTAATCTAAGGTCCCTCTCTCATTCTTAGTAATATAAGAGATCCACAATATTATTTTTTTGATGTCTAAGGTCCCTAAATCCACACTCATATATCAGATCAGAGAAATTTGACTATCTTTCCAATCTTTATTCTATCCAAACCAAACTCTCTCTCATTGTGCATATTCCAATCTTTTTTTCCAAACCCTCTATTTGTGTTACTCGAATACTCCTGAGCAGATCCAAAGAAAGTTTGAACAGCAGACTCATCGATCATCTCTACGTTTTCATCATCAAAGAACAACCAGTGGTCATGGCTTTTCACAAGGCTAACATAGTGCCTGTGGTTTGGCCCACTTCCAACATGAACGACAACAACAAATAAGGAGTATTCAGAGTCAGCATCTCTCTCTCTCTCTTTCAAGTTGCAGAAATTGTAGCTTCAGTCATCTCAGTTCCACTGAGTTTCTCAATTGCTTCTCGCAACATAGTGTCATCTCTCTCATTTGCTTCTCGTAGGTATTAAAATCTTTCTCTCTCTAGCAAATGTCTATACATATATGCAAAATTGTGTACTTGTGGTTGGTTTATTTTATTTTCTTGAATTTTGGAGTTTGTGATATTTCAATTATTGAATTTACTCTTCAAAAGTAATATTCTATGCAGAAACTCAACAAAATCAATAATCTGTGCCTTGCCCAATCCTCTCATCAACAATTGGTAATTATTTTTTTTTTCTCTTAATTTAATTTTCTTGAATATTTCGTTTTCCATTGAAATACAACTCTGAAGGTTTGATTCGAGTTTAGAACTCTTTTCGCAGTTACAATTTCGATTTCACGCAACCATGCCTTAATCTGAGTGAACTCTTCCTAATTCTAAAACCATTCACATTTTTTTTTTCCTCTCATTTTTGGGTTTGTGATTTTCCTATGAACTGTGCTTTTTAGCTAATATACTTGGATTGTCACGTAAATCTTTATAATAGCTTCCACAAAGGCTAATCCTAAGTTTCCTTTAGCTGCACCATCCAACCAGGTAAGAACTAATCCTAGTGGAATTTTGAAAATTAGAGACATGTTTTCCATTCAATAGCATCTGCCAAAACTAATTGGGTAGGTATCTGGTTTGTTCAAATTTCTTTGGTTGTTCAAATTTCTCTGGTATTGGATTTTCTCTACATTAGAATTTCTCTGTTATTGAATTTTCTCTACATTAGAATTTCTCTGGTATTGAATTTCTTTGGTGGTTCAAATTTCTCTAGTTGTTCAAATTTCTTTGGTAAATTTCTCTAGTATTGGATTTCTCTAGTTTAACTAAACAACATTAACTGAGTTAATTATTATTTTATCATCTTGGAATAGCACATCTGATATTTACTGGACATTTTCAATTTTCTCTGAATTTCTCTGGTTTGAATTCAAAGAAAGTTTAATTTTATTTGGTTTGGAGAGAATTTCTCTGGAACCAGAATTTCTTTGTTTGGACCTCTTCTTCATCTCCGTAAAATGCCATTGTCCTGCTAGTACACTGATGGCTTTAGGCCTGAGTTAGGGTTAGGATGGGAATTGATTGATATCGATGAAAAAATTGCACTCTATGTTTAAGAGCTTGGGAGAGAAATGCTCGTGGAGAGATTGTTTGAAGATGATCAAGCCTGTTGAGTTTCACAGAGAAGTCCAGTCTAGAAAAGTTTGGATTCCCAAAATTTCTCTAGAGATGTGGCTATGTTTTTTTTTTTTTTTCTCTTTTCTTTGAGCTGTTGTTGACTCAAGTCAGATCATAGGTGGCTAGTTTGCAGTTGTTGTATCTGCTTGTTGTCCAGCTTATTCTAGAAGGGTCAAATCGAGCCATTTGATGGGTGGAGTTGATACTGTTATTACCTCATGCTACCTCCAGTTAATCATTTGTCTTGTTGAGCATTTGTGTTGTTGTTATCAAAGTGTTGTTGCTTCTATGGCTTTCATGATGCAGCTACAGCTGCTTATTTGATGTAGAAATAAAATGATGATGATGATAAGGCTATCAAAGAATTTCTCTGGAGTGGTTTAAATTTTCTCTAGATCATGTAAGAACAAAGTAGATAACTTTTGAATTTCTCTGGAGTGGTTTGAATTTTCTTTGGATCAGGTAAGAACAAAGTAAAGAAATTTTCAATTTCTCTTGAGTGCTTTGAATTTTCTCTAGATTAGGTAAGAACAAAGCAGATAAATTTTAAAGCCTTATGAATGCACCCTACAATAAATTACAGATTTATAGTCTAGATAAATTCTCAATAATAATGAAGCCTTGCAAATCAGAATTTCTCTGTAAAGTCCAGAAAAAATTCGACAAGAGAAATTCTCTGTGAACCAAAATTTCTCTATGAAATCTAGAGAAGATTGGTCAAGAGAAATTCTTTAGACCGTTATTGAGGGACCTTAGACATTATGAAAATATTGAGTGTCCTTTATACTATAAAATCTTAATACCAGGGACTTTAAAAAAAAATCCCCTAATTATTATTATGTATTACTTTATTTCATTTATTTTAAAATTCTATATTAAATCTCTTAATTATAAATAGGGTAAATTACAAATATACCCTGGGATTTGCTTAAAATACAAATTGCTCCCTGTGATTTGAAAAATTACAAATACCCCATTGTTATAATTTTTTATTTAATAGAATTAACTAAAAAAATAAAATTCATAATTGCTCTCTTATACAATAATAAAATGACCTAAATTATTAATTGAAACATATTTTTAACATCATTAAAAATTGTTAATTGACTTGATGATTTATTAATAGAATGGACTATTTGTTATGAAATTATAAACCTCAGGTAAGAACAAAGCAAATAAATTTTGAATTTCTCTCGAGTATTTTGAATTTTCTCTAGATCACATAAGAACAAAGCAGAGAAATTTTGAAGCCTTGTGAATGCACCCTGTAATAAATTACAGATGTATAGTCCAGAGAAATTCTCAATAATAATGAAGCCTTGTGAACCAGAATTTCTTTGTGAAGTCCAGAGAAAATTCGACAAGAGAAATTCTCTGTGAACCAAAATTCTCTGTGAAGTCTAGAGAAAATTCGTCCAGAGAAATTCTCTGAATTGATATTGAAGGACCTTAGACATTATGAAAATATTGAATGTCCTTTATACTATAAAATCTTAATACCAAAGACTTTAAAAAAAAATCCCCTAATTATTATTTTGTATTACTTTATTTCATTCATTTTAAAATTCTATAGTAAATCTCTTAATTATAAATAGGATAAATTACAAATACACACCCTGAGGTTTGCTTAAAGTACATATTGTTCCCTGTAATTTGAAAAATTATAAATATCCCATTGTTAGATTTTTTATTTAATAAAATTAACTAAAAAATAAAATTCATAATTGCTCTATTATACAATAATAAAATGACCTAAATTATTAATTGAAACATATTTCTAACATTATTAAAAATTATTAATTGACTTGATGATTTATTAATAGAATGAGCTATTTGTTATGAAATTAGAAATCTCAGGAAATGAAATGTAATTTTCAAAATCACAAAAGATGATTCATATTT